CCAGAACAGAAAAAAAAACTCATAAAAGTTTTAAGAAAAGTGAAAAAAAAATCTTCAAGAGGAACTTCAAGCACATAAAGCTGCATCTGTTTCAAATATTTACCATGTAAACCTATTTAGTCATTGTATTCCAGGTTGAGTAGATAATATAACCCAAAAGCACAAAAGATGAATTGATAAAGTCTCCTATTGTCGAGCACCATCTCCTCTTCCAGGACAGCAGACATTCAGCACAGTTGACAGGGTTCTTAAACTTCATCATGCTGCTAATGCTCACTGTTTCAAGGATTCCTATCTTCATTGTAGCTGTGTGGTTTTCCAGTGGCTCTGTATATTAAAAATATAACACAGCAATGTCAATATTAAGTCTATATCAAATACATAATCAAATGTCACCATAATACTGTGTCATTTTCAAAACACTATTCCTGTTGGATCACAAAATGTCATTTTAGAATGACAGAATGTGGACATTCACATAATTATTAGCATAGTAACAGTATAGTAATTAATACTTCCCATAATGTGAGAATGCTATGTTAAAAATTGCAGATTTAGATGTAAAATGTCACTTTGGCCAGGCACCTGTTTGTTTACAGCAATGGTTCTAAATATCATTTACAGTGAGTAAATAACATCAGAAGACAAAAAACAGTTTTTCTTTCACACAAAATGGAAAATTCTGTCATAATCTACTCTCCCTTCACTTATTCCAAACCAGTTTTTCCTTCTATCTCCTGTAAATAATATATTTTAAAGAAAGCTGGAAACCTGTAGCATTGACTTCCATAGTCTTTGTTTTTCCTACTATGGACATAAATGGTTACAGGTTTCAGCTTTCTTCAAAATATAGACTATTCTTTAGTGTTCAGCAGAAGAAAGAAACTTACAAAAGTTAGAAAGCACATGTGCCTGAGTAAATAGTACAATTTGATTTGGGGGTGAACTATCCCTTTCAGAACAACTCCAAATCAATGTTTAATATTTTTAAGTTGAAATCAATAAGGCAGGCTTGTGTTTTACATAATATTTTGTTTTATAGAAAATGAATAAGGTTACAGTAGAACTGACAACCGGTAACATATAACTAGCCAGAGTAATGTATGTAAAAAACGTTAACGTGCTATGTACATCATTATGACGGAGCGGCAGGTTAACGTAATACCCATGCTTTTCGTTTTATGTCAGGAATTACTGAAACTTGCATTTGACTAAACTTTAAAACGATTCAATAAATACAGATTTCACTACTCACCATAACTTTGAAGAAGGAAAATCGCCGGAATATGATGTTTCGGAGGAGCTCTGCCATTGCTGCGCTGGAATTTACATCTGATCCAACAAACGACTCTCACGCGCATGCGTACACGTGTTTTTGCTGCAAGGTTTGTTCACAAACTCAAATACTGTTTCACCTATGTTTGATAAATTGCCAAATCTCAGTTTTATGTTTGGTGAATGAATATTTAAAATTTTTACTTCAGACCATGAGCTGAAATTATTTATGTGGATTTTTTTTTCGTTTGGGACTTATTATTGTGATGTCATTTGTTGAGTCAATATTTAATAGTAAGTGTCCACAATTATTTTATTTACAGGGTCATTTTTTTAATAATCTAATAATAAAATAATTGATGCAAAAATATGATCAGATAAAAAAACGTATTTGAAATTTGGTTAAATAAAGTTAGATTGCAACAAAATTTGATAAAAATTAATTATGAAAAATAAATAAATAATGTATAAATAAAGGAAGAGAATATTTTATGTATTTTTTCGTTTTTATTATTGTTTGGGGATTTAGACCCAGTTATGATAAAAATAGTAATAATTATCAGGATATCTGCTTACCCTAACTGATTTTAATCAAATTTATCTGAAAGTGTTAATGTTTCTGTATTACACATTTTGTTTAGTTCACACTATATTTACTTTTTTATACTGTAAAAAGACTAAATGTGTAATAGAGAAGCAACAGAGAGGAACTCCTCCACTAATTGACTTTCTGCTGATCAAGTGTTGTTTACATTTAAAAGACTCCAATATTCTGTCACCACGGCAACCTGAGTTTACACTGGGAATCAACACATCTCTCTGAATCTGATCACTTGAGCTCTTTGAACTCTCCACTTTGACAAGTTTCATCAGTTTGTCTGATTTGGAAAGTTGATATTCATGGAGCAGCGGTGCCTCAGACGAACCAGGAGTCTTCCAGCACACCTGAAGGACTTCCTGCTGGAGGGTGTCCCATCTGTTCAGGATCCTGCAGCTGTGATCAGGTTGGATCACACTTACAGCTGTATCTCTTCCCCAGGTCTGGAGGAGCGTCACCTGAAGAACGCGGCTGTCCTTCCCCACATCCGTCCATCATCCCCAGTGTCTTCAGTGGACGTGGGACAGCAGGAAGAGCCACTCACTATCCACGGCTACAGCGTTCAGGCCTACCAGAACATCTACTACTCTGTGGTCGAGCCCATGATCAAGAGTCGTCCCTACAGCCTTCAGCTGGGCCTGGAGATCAAGCAGCGGCTGTGGGATGCACTCAGGTGTCCTGTAATGGAGGAGACGGTGCTGGCTGATGGACGAATCCTCGTTACAGAACGCAGATGTGGATCCGGACCAAACAGCATGGCTCCTCGAGTCCATGTGGACATCAGTGGAGAGCCACTACCTGAGAAGCCCAGAAGAAAGAGGGCCAGACGCTGAGCCTTTACAGTGTCCCAAACCACACTGCAGGCCTGCGTATGTATATAGTGTACATAGTTGTAGAGCAAGTTCACAGTAAGTTTCCTTTTGCATGTTTTGTTTCATCAATTGGTTGTTTTTATTGATTCTTGGTGTTGTTGACTGAAGCTCTTGGTTTGCTCGGTGGTCTTCAGGATGTTTCAGGTGGTTTTCGGCGCGGTTGTCGAAGTTTTCTGAGCACTTGTTCTCGTGTTGCTGGTCGGTCGCTGGACTCTTCTGAGAGTTTCGATGCGTTTAGTGATTTGCGGTGTCTGTTAGGGTAGGGTAGGTTAGGGTCCCTCACGTGGTTTGCAGCTTGACGTGCTGTGAGGGCTTGTGTGCATCAGTGATGCTGAGAGCTTCGCCACTGGTACTTCACAGATACCGGTAGGGTCACCCATAGTGGACTGGTCTCAGCGGAGATGCCCGACTAAGACAAACCAGCTGATTCTGGACAGCAGAAGATTTACCTGAAGAGTAACATCAGAATCACCTGAAGATGTGGAAGTCGCAGGATTCATGGAAGCAACCATTGTAAATTAATAAATCAATTAATAAATTCATTAATTCATATAAAAGAGGCTGCATTTCATTTCTTTTTCCTCTATTAAGTTGAATTTTTTTTCAAGTTATAATTAATAAATAAAAGTAACAATTCTGGAATTATTATTACCCTTTTAACCTGATTTTCAAAACAATCCACCACAAACTGCACTATGAAAACTATAATAAAACTATAATATAATAAGCCATAATAATAATACAAAGCATACAATACATCAAACAAATATTTAAATAATTTATTACTTTTTTTTATTGAATAATATTTACAATTATGTTATAAATATAAATTCTATTTATTTATACCCTGTAAAAAATAAATAAATATAATAATTTATTTAAATATAAATTACTCCCTAAACTACATTTTCTAGTGACTGATCACATCTATATTCAATTGTGGCAACAGCCTGTTAACATTGACTCAATGAGAAATAATGTGTTGAGCCAATAAAAAACATCAAGTCTGCGCAATCATGTTATTGGCCCAATTGAATATTTTAAATTGTGTGTAGCAAGCTTTTTTGGTTTCACCTAATTTAGAAATGTATATTGGTTAATTGTATTTTGGTAAACAATGCTAAAGCAACTTTACTGAATTGTTTATTCCTCATTGTCCCAAAAGAAAATGAATAATAGAATATATGAAATAATGATACGCCAAACACTGCCACATTTATTTATTTGATTTATTAAAGAGACACTATTGTGAAAATACTATAAATTAACAAATACATTTCACTTTTTAATAAAGTAACCGTAGAAATTCTAGCATTTTATTTCTCCTTTATTCTTTGATGAGGAAATGCCCCCGTTTTTGCGATTGTTTTAGAACATCTGATTCAGTGCCTTATGGGAGAAAAGACTAGGAATAATAAACAGCAGAAACAGACAAACTACTTGCTCTACAAACAACTGTGTTTATGACTCTACAGACAAAGCAGAATAATATAATAAGAAAATATCAGTTTGCAACATCAAGCATCATAACAAGCTGTTTTTAACATCTAAAAATCAATGGAAGTGAATGAGAGCGGAAATCTCCAGCCAAAAAGATTAAAATGGCTGAGCCCGCTCGTACGTGACGAATAAGGTGAATACATAGAGCTGGAGTGTACTTAATATATATCCCAAATATCTGCAAAAATGTAAAAACACACCATAAAATGTGAGTATTTTTGTGAGGTTACTTTAACCATTGTTTAGTGCTGTCACCTGAATACTTTCATACTACAAAAGATAATCTGAACTTATGAAATCACATTTTCAATGGTTAAACCCATTCATTAACATTAAACCTCTAATATATTTGCATATAAAAAATTAACGGTTCATTCAGCTGTGGCGTCCCCTGATAAACAAGGGACTAAGCTGAAGGAAAATTAATAAATGAATATCAAAAACACCATCAAATCTAAACAATGGGTTACTTTACCCAGTTGACACAGATGATTCCAGAACAGAAAAAAAAACTCATAAAAGTTTTAAGAAAAGTGAAAAAAAAATCTTCAAGAGGAACTTCAAGCACATAAAGCTGCATCTGTTTCAAATATTTACCATGTAAACCTATTTAGTCATTGTATTCCAGGTTGAGTAGATAATATAACCCAAAAGCACAAAAGATGAATTGATAAAGTCTCCTATTGTTGAGCACCATCTCCTCTTCCAGGACAGCAGACATTCAGCACAGTTGACAGGGTTCTTAAACTTCATCATGCTGCTAATGCTCACTGTTTCAAGGATTCCTATCTTCATTGTAGCTGTGTGGTTTTCCAGTGGCTCTGTATATTAAAAATATAACACAGCAATGTCAATATTAAGTCTATATCAAATACATAATCAAATGTCACCATAATACTGTGTCATTTTCAAAACACTATTCCTGTTGGATCACAAAATGTCATTTTAGAATGACAGAATGTGGACATTCACATAATTATTAGCATAGTAACAGTATAGTAATTAATACTTCCCATAATGTGAGAATGCTATGTTAAAAATTGCAGATTTAGATGTAAAATGTCACTTTGGCCAGGCACCTGTTTGTTTACAGCAATGGTTCTAAATATCATTTACAGTGAGTAAATAACATCAGAAGACAAAAAACAGTTTTTCTTTCACACAAAATGGAAAATTCTGTCATAATCTACTCTCCCTTTACTTATTCCAAACCAGTTTTTCCTTCTATCTCCTGTAAATAATATATTTTAAAGAAAGCTGGAAACCTGTAGCATTGACTTCCATAGTCTTTGTTTTTCCTACTATGGACATAAATGGTTACAGGTTTCAGCTTTCTTCAAAATATAGACTATTCTTTAGTGTTCAGCAGAAGAAAGAAACTTACAAAAGTTAGAAAGCACATGTGCCTGAGTAAATAGTACAATTTGATTTGGGGGTGAACTATCCCTTTCAGAACAACTCCAAATCAATGTTTAATATTTTTAAGTTGAAATCAATAAGGCAGGCTTGTGTTTTACATAATATTTTGTTTTATAGAAAATGAATAAGGTTACAGTAGAACTGACAACCGGTAACATATAACTAGCCAGAGTAATGTATGTAAAAAACGTTAACGTGCTATGTACATCATTATGACGGAGCGGCAGGTTAACGTAATACCCATGCTTTTCGTTTTATGTCAGGATTTACTGAGACTTGCATTTGACTAAACTTTAAAACGATTCAATAAATACAGATTTCACTACTCACCATAACTTTGAAGAAGGAAAATCGCCGGAATATGATGTTTCGGAGGAGCTCTGCCATTGCTGCGCTGGAATTTACATCTGATCCAACAAACGACTCTCACGCGCATGCGTACACGTGTTTTTGCTGCAAGGTTTGTTCACAAACTCAAATACTGTTTCACCTATGTTTGATAAATTGCCAAATCTCAGTTTTATGTTTGGTGAATGAATATTTAAAATTTTTACTTCAGACCATGAGCTGAAATTATTTATGTGGATTTTTTTTTCGTTTGGGACTTATTATTGTGATGTCATTTGTTGAGTCAATATTTAATAGTAAGTGTCCACAATTATTTTATTTACAGGGTCATTTTTTTAATAATCTAATAATAAAATAATTGATGCAAAAATATGATCAGATAAAAAAACGTATTTGAAATTTGGTTAAATAAAGTTAGATTGCAACAAAATTTGATAAAAATTAATTATGAAAAATAAATAAATAATGTATAAATAAAGGAAGAGAATATTTTATGTATTTTTTCGTTTTTATTATTGTTTGGGGATTTAGACCCAGTTATGATAAAAATAGTAATAATTATCAGGATATCTGCTTACCCTAACTGATTTTAATCAAATTTATCTGAAAGTGTTAATGTTTCTGTATTACACATTTTGTTTAGTTCACACTATATTTACTTTTTTATACTGTAAAAAGACTAAATGTGTAATAGAGAAGCAACAGAGAGGAACTCCTCCACTAATTGACTTTCTGCTGATCAAGTGTTGTTTACATTTAAAAGACTCCAATATTCTGTCACCACGGCAACCTGAGTTTACACTGGGAATCAACACATCTCTCTGAATCTGATCACTTGAGCTCTTTGAACTCTCCACTTTGACAAGTTTCATCAGTTTGTCTGATTTGGAAAGTTGATATTCATGGAGCAGCGGTGCCTCAGACGAACCAGGAGTCTTCCAGCACACCTGAAGGACTTCCTGCTGGAGGGTGTCCCATCTGTTCAGGATCCTGCAGCTGTGATCAGGTTGGATCACACTTACAGCTGTATCTCTTCCCCAGGTCTGGAGGAGCGTCACCTGAAGAACGCGGCTGTCCTTCCCCACATCCGTCCATCATCCCCAGTGTCTTCAGTGGACGTGGGACAGCAGGAAGAGCCACTCACTATCCACGGCTACAGCGTTCAGGCCTACCAGAACATCTACTACTCTGTGGTCGAGCCCATGATCAAGAGTCGTCCCTACAGCTTTCAGCTGGGCCTGGAGATCAAGCAGCGGCTGTGGGATGCACTCAGGTGTCCTGTAATGGAGGAGACGGTGCTGGCTGATGGACGAATCCTCGTTACAGAACGCAGATGTGGATCCGGACCAAACAGCATGGCTCCTCGAGTCCATGTGGACATCAGTGGAGAGCCACTACCTGAGAAGCCCAGAAGAAAGAGGGCCAGACGCTGAGCCTTTACAGTGTCCCAAACCACACTGCAGGCCTGCGTATGTATATAGTGTACATAGTTGTAGAGCAAGTTCACAGTAAGTTTCCTTTTGCATGTTTTGTTTCATCAATTGGTTGTTTTTATTGATTCTTGGTGTTGTTGACTGAAGCTCTTGGTTTGCTCGGTGGTCTTCAGGATGTTTCAGGTGGTTTTCGGCGCGGTTGTCGAAGTTTTCTGAGCACTTGTTCTCGTGTTGCTGGTCGGTCGCTGGACTCTTCTGAGAGTTTCGATGCGTTTAGTGATTTGCGGTGTCTGTTAGGGTAGGGTAGGTTAGGGTCCCTCACGTGGTTTGCAGCTTGACGTGCTGTGAGGGCTTGTGTGCATCAGTGATGCTGAGAGCTTCGCCACTGGTACTTCACAGATACCGGTAGGGTCACCCATAGTGGACTGGTCTCAGCGGAGATGCCCGACTAAGACAAACCAGCTGATTCTGGACAGCAGAAGATTTACCTGAAGAGTAACATCAGAATCACCTGAAGATGTGGAAGTCGCAGGATTCATGGAAGCAACCATTGTAAATTAATAAATCAATTAATAAATTCATTAATTCATATAAAAGAGGCTGCATTTCATTTCTTTTTCCTCTATTAAGTTGAATTTTTTTTCAAGTTATAATTAATAAATAAAAGTAACAATTCTGGAATTATTATTACCCTTTTAACCTGATTTTCAAAACAATCCACCACAAACTGCACTATGAAAACTATAATAAAACTATAATATAATAAGCCATAATAATAATACAAAGCATACAATACATCAAACAAATATTTAAATAATTTATTACTTTTTTTTATTGAATAATATTTACAATTATGTTATAAATATAAATTCTATTTATTTATACCCTGTAAAAAATAAATAAATATAATAATTTATTTAAATATAAATTACTCCCTAAACTACATTTTCTAGTGACTGATCACATCTATATTCAATTGTGGCAACAGCCTGTTAACATTGACTCAATGAGAAATAATGTGTTGAGCCAATAAAAAACATCAAGTCTGCGCAATCATGTTATTGGCCCAATTGAATATTTTAAATTGTGTGTAGCAAGCTTTTTTGGTTTCACCTAATTTAGAAATGTATATTGGTTAATTGTATTTTGGTAAACAATGCTAAAGCAACTTTACTGAATTGTTTATTCCTCATTGTCCCAAAAGAAAATGAATAATAGAATATATGAAATAATGATACGCCAAACACTGCCACATTTATTTATTTGATTTATTAAAGAGACACTATTGTGAAAATACTATAAATTAACAAATACATTTCACTTTTTAATAAAGTAACTGTAGAAATTCTAGCATTTTATTTCTCCTTTATTCTTTGATGAGGAAATGCCCCCGTTTTTGCGATTGTTTTAGAACATCTGATTCAGTGCCTTATGGGAGAAAAGACTAGGAATAATAAACAGCAGAAACAGACAAACTACTTGCTCTACAAACAACTGTGTTTATGACTCTACAGACAAAGCAGAATAATATAATAAGAAAATATCAGTTTGCAACATCAAGCATCATAACAAGCTGTTTTTAACATCTAAAAATCAATGGAAGTGAATGAGAGCGGAAATCTCCAGCCAAAAGATTCAAATGGCTGAGCCCGCTCGTACGTGACGAATAAGGTGAATACATAGAGCTGAAGTGTACTTAATATATATCCCAAATATCTGCAAAAATGTAAAAACACACCATAAAATGTGAGTATTTTTGTGAGGTTACTTTAACCATTGTTTAGTGCTGTCACCTGAATACTTTCATACTACAAAAGATAATCTGAACTTATGAAATCACATTTTTAATGGTTAAACCCATTCAATAACATTAAACCTCTAATATATTTGCATATAAAAAATTAACGGTTCATTCCGCTGTGGCGCCCCCTGATAAACAAGGGACTAAGCTGAAGGAAAATTAATAAATGAATATCAAAAACACCATCAAATCTAAACAATGGATTACTTTACCCAGTTGACACAGATGATTCCAGAACAGAAAAAAAACTCATAAAAGTTTTAAGAAAAGTGAAAAAAAAAAAATCTTCAAGAGGAACTTCAATCACATAAAGCTGCATCTGTTTCAAATATTTACCATGTAAACCTATTTAGTCATTGTATTCCAGGTTGAGTAGATACTATAACCCAAAAGCACAAAAGATGCATTGATAAAGTCTCCTATTGTCGAGCACCATCTCCTCTTCCAGGACAGCAGACATTCAGCACAGTTGACAGGGCTCTTAAACTTCATCATGCTGCTAATGCTCACTGTTACAAGGATTCCCATCTTCATTGAAGTTGTGTGGTTTTCCTGTGGCCCTGTATGGTAAAAATATAACACAGCAATGTCAATATTAAGTCTATATCAAATACATATTCAAATGTCACCATAATACTGTGTCATTTTCAAAACACTATTCCTGTTGGATCACAAAATGTCATTTTAGAATGACAGAATGTGGACATTCACATAATTATTAGCATAGTAACAGTATAGTAATTAATACTTCCCATACTGTGAGAATGCTATGTGGTAAATTGCACATTTATAAGTAAAATGTCACTTTGGCCAGGCACCTGTTTGTTTACAGCAATGGTTCTAAATATCATTTACAGTGAGTAAATAACATCAGAAGACAAAAAACAGTTTTTCTTTAACACAAAACTGAAAATTCTGTCATAATCTACTCTCCCTTTACTTATTCCAAACCTGTTTTTCCTTCTATCTTCTGTAAATAATATATTTTAAAGAAAGCTGGAAACCTGTAGCATTGACTTCCATAGTCTTTGTTTTTTCTACTATGGAAATAAATGGTTACAGGTTTCAGCTTTCTTCAAAATATAGGCTATTCTTTAATGTTCAGCAGAAGAAAGAAACTTACAAAAGATTAAAAGCACATGTGCCTGAGTAAATAGTACAATTTGATTTGGGAGTGAACTATCCCTTTCAGAACAACTCCAAATCAATGTTTAATATTTTTTTTAAGTTGAAATCAATAAGGCAGGCTTGCGTTTTACATAATATTTTGTTTTATAGAAAATGAATAAGGCTACAGTAGAACTGACAACCGGTAACATATAACTAGCCAGAGCAATGTATGTAATTAACGTTAACGTGCTATGTACATCATTATGACGGAGCGGCAGGCTAACGTAATACCCATGCTTTTCGTTTTATGTCAGGAATTACTGAGACTTGCATTTGACTAAACTTAAAAACGATTCAATAAATACAGAATTCACTACTCATCATAACTTTGATGAAGGAAAATCGCCTGAATATGATGTTTCGGAGGAGCTCTGCCATTGCTGCGCTGGAATTTACATCTGATCCAACAAACGACACTCACGCGCATGCGTAACACGTGTTTTTGCTGCAAGGTTTGTTCACAAACTCAAATACTGTTTCACTTCTGTTTGGTAAATTGCCAAAGCTCAGTTTTATGTTTGGTGAATGAATATTTAAAATTGTTACTTCAGACCATGAGCTGAAATTAATAATGTGGATTTTTTTCGTTTGGGGCTTATTATTGTGAAGTAATTTGTTGAGTCAATATTTAATTGTAAGTGTCCACAATTATTTCATTTACAGTGTAATTTTGTTTTATATAATATAATAATAAAATAATTAATGCAAAAATATGATCAGATAAAAAAACGTATTTGAAATTTGGTTAAATAAAGTTAGATTGCAACAAAATTAGATAAAAATTAATTATGAAAAATAAATAAATAAATAAATAAAGGAAGAGAATATTTTATGTATGCTTTCGTTTTTATTATTGTTTGGGGATCTAGACCCAGTTATGATAAAAATAGTAATAATTATCAGGATATCTGCTTACCCTAACTGATTTTAATCAAATTTAACTGAAAGTGTTAATGTTTCTGTTTTACACATTTTGTTTAGTTCACACTATATTTACTTTTTTATACTGTAAAAAGACTAAATGTGTAATAGAGAAGCAACAGAGAGGAACTCCTCCACTAATTGACTTTCTGCTGATCAAGTGTTGTTTACATTTAAAAGACTCCAATATTCTGTCACCACGGCAACCTGAGTTTACACTGGACATCAACACATCTCTCTGAATCTGATCACTTGAGCTCTTTGAACTCTCCACTTTGACAAGTTTCATCAGTTTGTCTGATTTGGAAAGTTGATATTCATGGAGCAGCGGCGCCTCAGACGAACCAGGAGTCTTCCAGCACACCTGAAGGACTTCCTGCTGGAGGGTGTCCCATCTGTTCAGGATCCTGCAGCTGTGATCAGGTTGGATCACACTTACAGCTGTATCTCTTCCCCAGGTCTGGAGGAGCGTCACCTGCAGAACGCGGCTGTCCTTCCCCACATCCGTCCATCATCCCCAGTGTCTTCAGTGGACGTGGGACAGCAGGAGGAGCCACTCACTATCCACGGCTACAGCGTTCAGGCCTACCAGGACATCTACTACTCTGTGGTCGAGCCCATGATCAAGAGTCGTCCCTACAGCCTTCAGCTGGGCCTGGAGATCAAGCAGCGGCTGTGGGAGGCACTCAGGTGTCCTGTAATGGAGGAGACGGTGCTGGCTGATGGACGAATCCTCATTACAGAACGCAGATGTGGATCCGGACCAAACAGCATGGCTCCTCGAGTCCATGTGGACATCAGTGGAGAGCCACTACCTGAGAAGCCCAGAAGAAAGAGGGCCAGACGCTGAGCCTTTACAGTGTCCCAAACCACACTGCAGGCCTGCGTATGTATATAGTGTACATAGTTGTAGAGCAAGTTCACAGTAAGTTTCCTTTTGCATGTTTTGTTTCATCAATTGCTTGTTTTTATTGATTCTTGGTGTTGTTGACTGAAGCTCTTGGTTTGCTCGGTGGTCTTCAGGTTGTTTCAGGTGGTTTTCTGCGCGGTTGTCGAGGTTTTCTGAGCGCTTGTTCTCGTGTTGCTGGTCGGTCGCTGGACTCTTCTGAGAGTTTCGATGCGTTTAGTGATTTGCGGTGTCTGTTAGGGTAGGGTAGGTTAGGGTCCCTCACGTGGTTTGCAGCTTGACGTGCTGTGAGGGCTTGTGTGCATCAGTGATGCTGAGAGCTTCGCCACTGGTACTTCACAGATACCGGTAGGGTCACCCATAGTGGACTGGTCTCAGCGGAGATGCCCGACTAAGACAAACCAGCTGATTCTGGACAGCAGAAGATTTACCTGAAGAGTAACATCAGAATCACCTGAAGATGTGGAAGTCGCAGGATTCATGGAAGCAACCATTCTAAATTAATAAATCAATTAATAAATTCATTAATTCATATAAAAGAGGCTGCATTTCATTTCTTTTCCCTCTATTAAGTAGATTTTTTTTCAAGTTATAATTAATAAATAAAATTAACAATTCTGGAATTATTATTACCCTTTTAACCTGATTTTCAAAACAATCCACCACAAACTGCACTATGAAAACTATAATAAAACTATAATATAATAAGCCATAATAATAATACAAAGCATACAATACATAAAACAAATATTTAAATAATTTATTCAATTTTTTGATTAAATAATATTTACAATTATGTTATAAATATAAATTCTAATTATTTATATGCTGTAAAAATAAATAAATATAATAATTTATTTAAATATAAATTACTCCCTAAACTACATTTTCTAGTGACTGATCACATCTAAATTTAATTGTGGCAACAGCCTGTTAACATTGACTCACTGAGAAATAATGTGTTGAGCCAATAAAAAACCATCAAGTCTGCCCAATCATGTTATTGGCCCAATCAAATATTTTAAATTGTGTGTTCATCTAATTTAGAAATGTATATTGGTTAATTGTATTTTGGTAAACAATGCTAAAGCAACTTTACTGAATTGTTTATTCCTCGTTGTCCCGAAAGAAAATAAATAATAGAATATATGAAATAATGATACACTGTTAGACATTTCAAAGGGTTTTTACAGTAACTTACTGGCAACACTGTTGCCAGTAAGTTACTGTATTTTTGATTTACAGTATACAACTGTAAATCCGTTTACAGCATGTTACCGTAGTGTCTGAAAATGGTTAACTACTGTAAAAACCTAAGTTAACAGTTAGCTACTGTAAACCTTTTAATTTTGTCCTAAATATTTTATAATATCATTTTATTAATATTATTTTAATACTATAGACCTAAAAAAGACACAATTACAAAATATTAACAAAATAAACACTCTTTATTTAAAACATTGGAGATGCTTAACCCAAGCTTAAAAATGTGTAAAAACATTACATTTCAATCATTCAAAATATTTTATTTTAAGAAAAAAAACATTGAAAATGACAAAGCACATTAACATACATGTACAAAACTAATTTAAGTGTCTGACCTGCATATTGTTGAGAAAAAAAACCCCAATTGTACTAAGTACTACTGACATTAAACCAGACACAATTACAAAATATTCCATTCTTTAAAACATTAATAATGCTTAAAGCATTTAAGGAAAATGTGTGAAAATTACATTAAGCAATAAAATCAACACATTAAAAATAAATAAATCACACAAAGCACTAGAACATTCATGTACAATAAAAATTTAAACTTCTGAATTGCATATTGTTGGAAAAATAAATATTTGTAACTATTAGCCGACTCAGAAACAACCCAACTTTAAAATATTACTAATTCTGGTGTCAAATGCTCAACAAGGTCTGAATTCACATGTTCAAATGCAATTCATCTTTATTTCTATTGCACTTTTACAATGTAGATCAATGATGTCAAAGCAGCTTAACATAGAAGTTCTTGTAAATTGAAGCTGCTTCAGTCCAGTTTTCAGAGTTGAAGCAGTTAATGTCACTGCTGAAAGTCCAAACACTGAAAAGCAAATCCACCGATCCACCAATCGTAGCCAAGCGATCCAGTGGCGACAGTGGCATGGAACAAACTTCACCAACTGACGAAAGTGTAGAATAAAATCCCTTGAGAGATACCAGGCTCAGTTGGGCACGACCAGTTCTCCTCTAGCCAAACTTGTGCAAGGCCGCAGTCTAGGCACCGGAGGCTTGAAAGTTCACCAGCAGGTGGTCAGGCTGGCCCATTGGATCAATGCGGAAACTCATTGATCACGTGTGTCTTTTAGGATTCACTCCTCCATGACCACCACAGCATCTGGTCAGGATTTGGCCCAGTCCAGGATTATGAAGAACTCTGGATAAGGACAAACAGACTAACATAAGCATAGAAGAAGCTTGTTTAAAAAAAATAAATCATATACTGGTTAATTATTTTGAAGCATGGCAGCTAGGTTGGGGTAGTTTTCAGCTGGTACTGAGCAACTGGCTCCTGCTCATAACCTGCTCACTACCATGTTTAAAAGATAACTAACCAGAATGTCCTGTTTATTTTTTTTCCCTAACAAGGTTTTACAAAAACATTGTAGCATTTGTGATGGGTTGATTCACTGCAGGACAGATTAGACTATTTGTTTTATGTATTCCTAATAAACTAAAACAGACTGAATACTGATACAATTATTGAGAGTGTCTCACCTAATCCAAGTTCTCAGTTAGCTGGTGAAAGAAGGATAACTCACTGTTGTTCATGGTTGTCATTCTCTTCACTACTTCTCCTGCCTTCTTCTGGCTCACTCTGGTTGTTGCTGTGCATTTTGTTTCATCCTCTGGAATTATTTATACAAAAATTTTTATTATTTTATTTATTACAAAATATTTAGGCAACATGAAATGGGGAAAAAGACATTTAATACATAGACAAATGCATGTATCCCAATACTAATTATTGTATTTTGAAATGTCTGACCCATGACAGACCTCAATCTGCTCAAAAATATTATAAACAAAGATGAAAAAAAAACCTACTAAATGGTTTAATAAAAAAGGGAAAAAGATTTTTTTATTTAGCTAGCAACTAAACATGTGACACATTTTGTATTAAAAGTAACGTTACTATATTGAGAAACAAATAGATGTACAGTACTTACTGTTGTATGAGGTCCAGTTTGCACAGGCAGGCTCCCAGTATTCTATATTGAGACCATAAAAAAGCCAAAAATACAGATAAGAATACCTTGCTACAATCCACAACCTCCACACAACTTTTTTTTATTTGTTTACCTTGGTTGCTTACTGGTCTTGCTTATTTTTTAAGCATAAGGCTGTGTTGATCAAGATGTTCCTCCGAAATGCTGTTTGTTTCTTCAGACAAAACCTGCTGCTGTGCCAGTGCCATATCTAAACAGAAAAAAATATAATGGTAACAATTATGTTAAACCAAATGTCAAGAGTTGTGATAAAAAATAATTAGCAAACAAAAAATAGCAAAAAGGTGGTTATTAGCATAATGC